CCAGGGAAACAAACACGAAACGGAGGTAACAGAAAAACCTTTTAATGACGCTTTGCAAATTCCCTTCCTTCCTGGTTAAAAGGCTGCTTCAAACTAATCGTCTCTGATAAGAACAAACCTTGCCAAGCTTGTGAAAGGCTACCAAGAACACTAGACAAAGTTACTAAGAAATATTCCAAACACAAAAAGTCTCCAAACACCAACCAAGATATTCCGAACGTCCACGAGGCTTGAGTGCGAAAACGTCTTTGCTTCCTGCAAAGAACTCCGGTTTCTCAGCTGGCTTTTATTCCTTAAGGGAGGGGCCAACACCTTGCAGCTTTACTGCCAAGTCGCCGGTGCTGCTGCAGCTGCTCTTTCCTTCGAGCAGCCCTGCGCATATGCACTGGGCACAGGCTCCTTGAGATCCTCTTCCTCACTGCTGCCAGCCTCCACCCTCTCCAAAGGCTGCAATCCACTCCTTGATGGTCCTGGCCCCATCCCTGCGTCACACGCAGGCCCCTCATCTGAGTCGTCGCTCTCCGAGACGTCTGCCGTCCACACCTGCTGCTGGCGAATCACAACAGCTTGTTAGTTTAAATCAGTGTTTCTCAACCTCAGCCACTTTAAGATGGGAGGCCTTTCAACTCCCAGAATCCCCCAGCCAGCTATGCTGGGTTACAAAATCTATAAACAACCTTACAATGTCCTAGTAAGGGCACACTTGGAATATCGCCATCCAGTTTTGTTCACCACAATATAAAAAAGAGGTTGAGACTCTGGAAAGAGGGCAGAGAAGAGCAACCAAGAGGCTGCAGCTAAAACATATCAAGAACGGTTGCAGGAATTGGGCAGGTCTACTTTGATGGAAAAAAGGACTGGGGTGACATGATAACAAGTCTTCCAATATCTATGGGCCTGCCACAAAGAACAGGGGGTCAAACTATTCGTCAAAGTACCAGAAGGCCAAAAGAGAAGCAATGGATGGAAGAAAAGCAATCTAGAACTAAGGAGAAATGGACTAACAGCGAGGACAATTAACCAGTGGAACAGCTTGCCACCAGAACTTGTGGGTACTCCGTCCTTGGAGGTTTTTAAGAAGAGGCTGGACAGGCATTTACCTGAAATGGTAATGGGGTCTCCTGTTGGAGCTGGTGGTTCGACTAGAAGACCTTCAAGGTCCCAATTCTAATACTCTGTGTTGGCTTGACATAGACAAGATTTGCCAGATTAAAGACTGTGTCCGGTTTGAGGGCTGAGCAGAACGATGTTTTTCTTTTCTGTCAGTTAGATAAACAGAAATGATGATCATCCCCTTAATATTAGTCTGCTAATTGCATAGCTTGGACCATAGAATCGACAGACGATTAATTGAATCGTTAATGGCTTGGAAATGGAACAAGCTGGCTTGCAGGGATTCCCATCTCTGTGACACGATGGATGAATAACCCGGGAAGGCCGCTAAAAATTAAAACACCGTTTGTTATTATTATCCACTTGGCCAAATCTCAGGGTTGCATTCAGGGAGAGACCGAGCTGTCTGCTGGCCCGGCAGCTTCTATTTGCGTAAAGCCGGATTTAATACGGAGGAGAAATTAAGGTATTTTTACAAGGTGGGGAAGAGGGGAGAGAGATGGTTTATAAATCTAATTTAAGGGGATTGCGAAGGTGGCAGAGGGCGATATTAGGATTAAATTGATGCTTTCGGGGCTCCCTGGCCGGTCCATCACTGCACTGATAAACATAGAAAGCGAATAACTGCACTGAAAAGAAGGAAGCAAAGCAGAGATTTGAGGAAGATTAATTCCATTTGATAATAGAATAGCCTGGTGTAAAGAAGGCCAGCCATGCCATGAAGGTAGCAGCTCTTTATTGGACAATCACTTAAATAGGAGCCAGCCGTTTCTGGCAGCAGGCAAAAAAGCCAACGCAATCCTAGGATGCGTCAATAGTGGGATAGTATCAAGATCACATTAAGTGTTAATACTATTTTGCAAAGCTTTAGTAAGACCACACTTGGAATATTGCATCCAGTTCTGGTCACCAGTTCTTTTACACAATGTAAAAAAAGATACCGAGATTGTAGAAAGAGTGCAGAGAAGAGCGACCGAGGATAATTAAGGGACTGCAGGCTAAAACATTTGAAGGAGGGTTGCAGGAATTCAGTACGTCTAGTTTAATGAAAAGAAGGACTAGGGGTGACATGATAGCAGTGTTCCAATATCTCAGGGGCTGCCCCAAAGAAGAGGCAGTCAAGCTATTCTCCAAAGCACCGGAAGGCAGGACAAGAAGCAACGTGTGGAAACTCATCAAGGAGAGGAGCAACCTAGAACTAAGGAGAAACTTTCTGACAGTGAGGACGATTAACTGGTGGAATGGAAGTTGCCTTCAGAAGTTGTGGGTGCCCCAACTGTGATGACCCAAAGGGGTGTGGCACAAAGACAACACAGCCAAATAATCAGTAGGAGTCCCTTTATTAGCTCCCATTTTGTCCCCAATGTGCTGGTTACCTTCTGGGCTGGAGAAAAACTCTCCCAGGAACTAGCCTGTGGCTGCAGAGAATCAAGTCCAAAACAAGGTCAACAAAAACTGTAACTTAAAGTCCAATCAAGGCAAAAGGAGGTCATTAATCCAGCAGGGCAGGAGAAGGAATTCCAGACGTGAAGGAACGGCAGTAATTCAACCTGGTTGGGAGGATGCCAGGAATGCAGATAAGCCAAGTCAACACAAGATAAACTCACCTTTGCTCCCAGCATACACCACACTCAGCTTGCATCTCTTTTAAACTCTCATTCCTAGGTGTGGCTAATGAAGGGAATCGGGGCCCTTTCCTCCCCCGTAAGCCACGCAACCCACGTTACTCCCTTCTCCCTTCCTCCCTGCGTGCCCTAGAATGAAGGGGGGGTGGGCCTGGGTCTTCCACTGAACTCCCTCTCCCTTGTTCTCCCTCTTCCCTGCTCTGCCCAGCCGGACTTTGCCCTTCTCCCGTTTCCTCCCCAGCCAACGGAGCCACATTTCCGCTCCCTGGTGGCTGTTTATCTTCCTCCTTGGATTCAGACTCTGACAAAGGCTTGACACCATCACTGGAGGCTTCCAAAAAGGGACTGGACAATCGTTTATCTGAAACGGTACAGGATCTCCTGCTCAAGCAGAGGGTTGGACTAGAAGACCTCCAAGGTCCCTTCCAACTCCGTTATTCTATGTTCTGTGGCTTCTAAGCATAATTGAGCTTGACCCGAAGGGCAAGGCGTGGGGGTCAATGAGGGGCCTGGGAAGGGTTGCACGATGTGCACTCGACCTCTTCATCTGGGTTTGTAATTACTGGTGGTGGTTTGTGGCAGGGAGGCATTTCTTCTCCTTGTGGGGGTCATGTGAAGCCACCAGCTGGTGGACTGTGTGAGCAAAGCCTGTTGTGGCTTGCGACCTAGATTAAGAAATTAATATGTGGAGTAATTGACTTACTGTAGAGCCCCCTCCCCCCTCAAAAGAAGCCCTCTTTCTGGAAGACTCATCTTTTGAGGGAAGTAGCATCTTCTGCCCTTCCCCATAGAAGACCCCCACCCACCCACCCAACACCCTAAGGGACCCCCCCAGAGAGCACCAAGGACCGAGCTTGGTTGGTTTTCTTGCAGACGTTTCATTTCGTGACTAGGTAACATCATCAGTGCTAGAACGGTGGGCAGTTTGCTCTCTATTTATCTGGCTTGCATTGTCAGTCTGGTTTTCTTCTTGGTGGTTCTTTGATTAAGCTGTTTATTGTTTGATCGTCTGAGTTGGTCGTGGCGTGATTGACTTATTGTTTTCTGCTTGGTTGTTGGTCCGATCCTAATCCCTGCTTATCTGGATATTGGCTGCCAGACAGGATATATTCTGATCCGTTTGTTTGCTCTTTAGCCTTTTTTTAATAGTCTCTTTTGAATGGCGTGTAGTCTCTATTTATTTCTCTGTGTCTGTTGACGGCTGATTTGCCTGGAAGTGCCGTTTTGGTTTCCCAGATGAAACTATGGTTTGAGTTGGTCCATCGGCTGAGAAGCTCAGAAGTCTTTGGAGTGCCGGTTGGCGTTTGCGGATACCATGAACATACTTATTCTATCTGTATTGTGATTTCATTGGGGGTATATTGTGACTTTCTTCTATTGGTCACACAAATACACACAGAGACACACACACACATTTTGATGATTTTAATGTTTTTTTATGCTGTAAGTCACCCAGAGTCACTTAGAAACTAGATGGGCAGAACATAAATTTAATTAAAAAAAATAAAATAAAAATAAAAAATGGATACGCTCTGCTAGTCTTCAGCCTGGCTGTCCTACATGGTGGCTGATATACTTCAATCCTGAACTACAAACATTTTCTTCTATTGGTCACACACACACACACAATGTTGGTCAGTTGTATTGCTTCTTGGAAGAAATTGAAAATATTCTCAGTTGCAGCTATCAGAGCCTAGAACTCTAACCTCTCTCTGTGTTTTGTTTTTTTCCCCTCTTTTTATCTTCCTCCCTCTCTCTTCCTCTCTCTCTTTTCCTTTTTCTCTCATCTCTCTCCCTCTCTCTTTCTCATTCCCTTCCACTCTCTCATTCTCTTTCTTGTTCTCTCCCTCTCTTTTTCTCTTTTCTTCTCTTTCTCTCTCACTGACTTCCTTTCTCTCTCTCTCTCCCTCTCTCTCTTTCTCATTCTCTTCCTCCTCTCTTTCTCTCTCTCTAATTCTCTTTCTTGTTCTCTTCCTCTCTTTTCCTCTCTTTCTCTCTCACTGACTTCCTTTCTCTCTCTCTCTCTTTCTCATTCCCTTCCTCCTTCTTTCTTTCTCTCTCCCTCTTTTCCTCTCTCTCTCCTCCTTTTTCTCTCTCTCTCATTCTCTTTCTTGTTCTCTTCCTCTCTTTCTCTCTCACTGACTTCCTTTCTCTCTCTCTTTCTCATTCTCTTCCTCCTTCTTTCTTTCTCTCTCCCTCTCTTCCTCTCTCCCTCTCTCCCCCTCTTTCTTTCTTTCTCTCTCTCTCTCTCTCTCCCCATAGCCCCCCCCCGGGAGCCCAGCCTGATGTGCCGGTCCAACAACTACCCCATCGGCTTCTACTGCAGCTGGCACCTGCCCAGCCCGACCTACATTCCTGACACCTTCAACATCACCATCATGTAAGTGGGGCTTCGGACAGACGGAGGAGGGCAAACCGAGATCCACAAACCAGCATCCGGAGGGAGAGAAGCTCCTGGTGCAAATCCCTCGGGGTTCTGCCCGACCCCCTCTCCAGCCACCTGGGCCTTGAGCTGGGAACCCCGGGTGGGGGGAGGGGCAAGTGGGCAGACCTGGTCCTGCCGGGGGGGGAGGGGGCTCATTTCACACGGAGGGCTTCTAGAGAGCAGCCGGAGGCTCCTTTCTGCCAGACCAGGTGGGACGAGACGGCTCCCCAGATACCCCAGACCCACATCAGGAGGGCGTGAGTCCCTTCCCCCGAGGAGGAGGGGGACAGCCGGTGCAGCAGGCAGTTGGCAGTGTTGGAGGGAGCCCTGAGACTAGAATACAATAGACCAGAAGAGAATGGGAATATGAATATGAATATGAAAATGGAATGGAATAGAATAAGAAATAATAGAATAGAATGTGAATTGGAAATAGAAAAGAACAGGGTAGAATGGAATGGAATGGAATGGAATGGAATGGAATAGAATAGAATAGAATAGAATAGAATAGAATAGAATAGGATAATGAATGGAATAGAATAGAATAGAATAGAATAGAATAGAATAGAATAGAATAGAATAGAATAGAATAGAATAGAATAGAATAGAATATGAATATGAATATGAATATGAATATGGAATAGAACAGAAAATAGAATAGAATAGAAAATGGAATAGAATAGAAAATGGAATAGAATAGAAAACAGAATAGAATATGAATATGGAATAGAACAGAATAGAATAATGAATATGAATATGGAATAGAACAGAAAATAGAATAGAATAGAATAGAATAATGAATTGAATTGAACAGAATAGAATAATGAATAGGATAGGATAGGATAATGAATAGAATAGAATAATGAATAGAATAGAACAGAATAATGAATAGAATAGAATAGAACAGAATAGAACAGAATAATGAATAGAATAGAATAATGAAAGAATAGAATAATGAATAGAATAGAATAGAATAATGAATAGAATAGGATAGGATAATGAATAGAATAGAATAATGAATAGAATAATGAATAAAATAGAATAATGAATAGAATAGAACAGAATAATGAATAGAATAGAACAGAATAGAACAGAATAATGAATAGAATAGAATAATGAAAGAATAGAATAATGAATAAAATAGAATAGAATAATGAATAGAATAGAATATTAATTAGGAATAGAACAGAACAGAACAGAATAGAATAGAAGAATAGAATAGAATCAGGAAAGAATAGAATGCTGAAAAGTTGGAAGGGACCTTGGAGGTCTTCTAGTCCAACCCCCTGACGTGGGGGCTCTCACAAGGGGTGCAAACAGCGGAGGGCAGCCGTTCACTTGGGGACCGCCACTGGGCCCCTCTCCAGCATGCGTGCCTCTCCCCGATCTCCACCTTGCCACCTTTTTCTCTCCCCCCTCCCCCCCCCGCAGACACGACTCCCACGACCCCGCGTGCGCAAAGGAGGGGACGCGGGGGATTCAGAAAGTGGGGGGAGGAAACCCTTCAAAAGAAGCAGGGGGGGCAGGAAGGGCACCCCACTGCTTAAAGGCTGCAGCCTCTGGCAGAAGGATCAAGATCAAATGAGGTACTAATACCTGTGACGACCCGAAGGGGCGTGGCACAAAGGCAACACAGTCAGACAAGCAAGGAGAATCCCTTTATTATCTCCAGTTTTGCCCCCAGTGTCCAGGTTCCCTTCGGGCTGGAGAAAAACTCTCCTAGGAACACCCTCTGATTGTAGAAAATTCAGTCCAAAACAAGGGACGCACAAACTGTAACTTAAAATCCAAACCAACCAAGCGGAAGTAATTAGTTTGGCAGGGCAGGAGTAGGAATTTCAAACTCGAAAGCCCAGCAAAATACACACAGTTGGGAAGACGCCAGGAACACAAATAAGCCACAACGATACCCGTTAAATTCACACTTGCTCCCAACAGCTTGCTTGCACACAGCTTCTTCTTTTAAACCCTGTGTTCCCAGCTGCAGCTAATGAAGGGAATCGGGGCCCTTTCCTCCCCCGCAAGCCATGCAACCCACGTTGCTCCCTTCTCCGTTCCTCCCTGCGTGCCCTAGGATGAAGAGGAGGTGGACCTGGGTCTTCCTCCGAACTCCCTCTCTCTTGATCTACCTCTCCCCTCCTCTGCCCAGCCAGACTTTGCCCTTCCCCAGTTTCTTCCACAGCCAACAGAGGCCACACTCCCACTCCCTGTCAGCTGCTCGGCTTCCGATTCCAACAGAGGCATGACAATGCCGCTCTATAAAGCCTTAGTAAGACCACACCTTACTTATAATGGCTCTTCCGTCCCAAGTACCGGCCCATAGATTTCCACTGCTCTCCTCTCCTCTGCCTTCTGAGCATCCATGTGTCAGGTACTGGATGCAGCTGTTCCTCCTCCTCCTCCTCAGCCACCTCCACACCTGGAGGCTGTTGACTCTCCGTCTGAGGGCTAACGGGCGGCCCAGGCTCTGCCTCTCTCCCTCTCCCTCCCCCTCTCTTTCTCTCTCTCTCTCTCTCTCTCTCTCTCTCTCTTTCTC